TGTGGGTGGCTAATTAATTTATTTCTTGCCGAAACGAAACGAAAAATATGTACGTGCGCTCGAATAGACTCAATTTCAACGATTATATTCTTTTTCACAACCATACTTAAGCCTAGCTTACCGAAGGTTGGCGAAGACGGGGCGAACTCGCAGAGAGCGAACGAAAGCTTTATTGCGCTTCCGGCCCTAAACTAATTTACACTAGAATTCGAAATTCAACTTCATAATAATCTATTCCATTCAATTTAATTCTAACAAATACAAAAATCAAAAACTTGCTTCAGCCAACAGGTCCCTTTGAACAAGTGCAAACTAAGTTAGGTAATCCAATCTGATTTGGCCCAAAAAAAAGTTTTTTTTTAACCTCACCAACTACCATAACCATTAAACATAACATAGTCATTGTGTTCAATTTATTATTTTTTTTTTGGTTGGAATCAATTTCATATGTAGCTTGATCTTGCCGGAAATATTAATGTGAGCTAAAAGTTTCCTCTGTAGAATCTTCCCTAAATCGTGTCCATTTTATAAGGGTTTCTGGAGATCGATACAGAAATATTAGTTTTCCATATAAGTCCTCCTCTAGTCGATACTCCTGCGTCTCTCGAACTAAATAAATATCATTGCACAGTTTTAAAACTCTATCGACGTATGGTAAATCTTCAAACATAATGCGCCTATGATTATTTGCAATAAGGGACCTTATAAGCCTGGAAACAACATAGACAAATGTTGTATAGAGTCCAATTATCCTGAAATGTTAAAATATATTGTTTAAAGATGAAATGCAAAATATTAGGAATGACATACCCTGTTTTTTCTAAAAAGCTCATAGCAGATGGAAAAGATTTATCGTTAAAAACATAAAAGACGATTCCATTTTTACAGTTACTTAGTGGTAGTGAAGACAAAATATCCGCGTGAAACTTATCGTCGCAATAATCATACATTTCCCACCATTCCTGGTTGTCGTCATACTTCTTTAGTAATATAATAGGGCGGGTAAACTTTCCTATTAATAAAAAATAAGGGTCGTTATGTAATACCACACAAAAAGCATAAAATGAATATGTGAAATTTTTATAATGTTATCAATTTTAGATTTCTTAAGAATATCGGTAGAGTGAGTTATACAAATGGAATATAGCTGCGATGGGCAGCCTTTAGCAGTTTGGATTGAAAACTGAATTACTTATGATCAGATTCTATCTTAAACTATCATTCAGCGCATAGGCTTAGATTCGCGTAGGTGTAATAAAGTTAGTAAGTAAGCGAAGATTGTTTTGTAGGTATTACCAGGCGCCTTGTACTGGTTGTGGCTCGAAGTTGGCTGTGAGTGCAAGGTATTGGGTTTAAGTTCATAGAACCGGGACCTTTGTTCGTCGTCATTTGGTCTATTCACAATAATTAGGGGCTCCGAATTATTGTGGATAGACTTCAAATCTTATAAAAATGGGATTTGAGTATGATTAGATGTATCGTTTATGACGAAGGATAATGTTTTTGTTTTTGTTTACCTAGGTTGTGATGCCCGATCCAAAACCTGTTGTAGATATTATCTGCCTCCCACGAATTCCTCAGCTTTAGCTTTTATTATTTTCAATTTTTTAATTTAACCGGTTGGTCAATATATCGCAGTATAACAAAGCCGTCGTTAGAATTTCAAAATTAGTGGTGCAGCGTCCAATGATGAATGGGTTATTTGGTCTTGGCATTACAACATTGAATTATTCCGTTTGAGGCAAAGTCGATAATTAATATGTGAAGAACTCATGCTACTGGTGGACACTTTCTGCATTGTGTAATTATCTGTGGACTAGTTTTGGGGCATGTTTCCAAAAACTGAATGCATTCAGGTTTTATCGTCGTAGTTGTGTGAGATTTTTCGTTGTGGGTTGCCCAATGGTGTATATACCATCCTCCTCTCCAAGAACCACAGCACGCTTTTTAGTATCTGAACTTTTGTGCATCTTTTGTATCCCTTACTTTTTATGACTATAATTTTTATCTGTGCTTTATGTTTGTGACCAGACTGCAACATTTGTATTGGTAGCTCTGTTTGTGTCCCGCCAACTGTCGGGAATTTCAGATACTTTTCAAAAGTTCTGATTTTTGTCGTGAAACCGTCTGTCTTTATTAAACTCAGTTATAATGATTAGGATGCGCCATTTTGGTGTTTATTTAGGCATTCTTTTCCCAAAGAAGAATCATTGTATATTCCTCATATAGCTGACATCTGGTAATCTCGTGATATAATCGTTCCAGCGTTCTCGTAAATCTCGAGGAAGTGTTTCGTCCCACTCTAATGGCGAGGAAACTCCAGCAGTGCGTTCAATACTAACACTCCAGACGTCCTTCAAAATTGCTTTGGCAGTTGTGATAACTGGCACAATAAATCCTAATGGATCGTACAACCGGGCCACTGTGGATAGTAATGCTCGTTAAGTAAATTCTTGACTGATTTTGAATTTTATATGAAAGCCATAAAAATCTCTTTAAGGATGCCAATACAAACCAAGTGTTTTTATTGAATCATGATTGCCAACTTCTAAAATTGTTGAATTCGACATATGTTCTTGCGCAATGTTAACCAGCAAGTCAGGATGATTCGATGCCCATTTCCTGGGACACATGCCAGCTGATTGAAGTGCAGCAATTAGATCCTCTCGAATTTTAATAGCTCCATCAACGGTGTCATGACCACTTTGAACGGCGTCAACATATATTTCTTTTTGCAGTACATGTTGTGCCAATTGATATCTCACACTTTCATCCTGAGCTAACTGATGCATAATCCTGATGGTCGTATATGGAGCCGACGCAGTGCCAAAGGTCACGGTAATTAAACAATATTCCTGAATTTGATCCTGTTCGTTTCGCCAAAAAATCCGTTGAAACTGGGCATCATCCGGGTGCATGTCTATGCATCGGTACATTTTTTGGATGTCTGCCGCAAAAACGTGTCGATGCATGCGCCAGTTTAGTATGACTCCACCAAGATCATTCTGCAACGCGGGGCCTGTACAAAGGACATCGTTGAGAGAACGGCCATTGGAAGTTTTGCAAGACACATCATAGACCAAGCGTAATTTGGTGGTGGTACTCTGCTCCTTTAGTACAGCGTGATGAGGCAGAGTGCATGTCGCAAAACCGACCTGCCCCAATGGCGTGTGAGTCCGATGTTGCTCCTCAGTGCTTGCAGCTTCATAGATTTGGTTGAGATCAAAATACTCTTGAATGACTTACTTCTCGCAGGGCCGATCATTCAGCAAAAAATCTTTAACATATTGCTTCGCTTCAGATTCTTTAAAGTAGCTCTTTGTGGAAACATCTGCAAGATGTACCGCTGCTTACGTGTTTCGTACCCGGATGATTTTTTGCAGTGCATCGTTTGGCTAGAAAACTCATCGGATGAGTTGAGTGTTTACAAACTAAACACGGTGACCTATGGAACAAAGCCAGCTGCTTTCTTGGCTAAAGGAGCCATGCATCAGCTTTCTTATGATGAAGAGGAATCGCTTCCAATTGGAGCAGAGATTGTTCGTAGAGATTTCTATGTCGATGATTTAATTTCTGGGGGCGAAACGATTGAAGAGGTGAAAGAAATTCGTCGTCAGGTAAAGAATCTATTGTCGTGAGGACATTTTCCAATCCGCAAATGCATTGGCATTTCGCGGAAATGCGTCGATATCGTCAGGTCATAGAGTCACCAAACGAATCGCATTGTCAACTATAGCCAAATTTTATGATCCACTCGGTTTAATAACGCCAATTGTTACTAAATCTAAAATCTTCTTGCAATCTCTATGGAAGTCTAATGTGGATTGGGATGACTTATTGCCAGAGCCCATTCTTTCGTCATGGGGGGGAGTTGACCTCTCAGTTGTCGATCGTCCAAAACTTACAATTTCCACGATTCGTAACGCGTCCGCAAGCGACCATCCAGTTGCATGGATTCTGCGATGCTAGCACATCAGCTTATGGAGCTTGCCTATATTTGCGGTCGAAGGACAATGAAGGCACAAAAGCTTATCTACTCTGCGCCAAGTCGAGAGGCCCCGTTGAAGGCCTTAACAATTCCAAGATTGGAGCTTTCAGCAGCACTTCTATTGGCAGAGCTTATCGTAAGCGTCAAGGAAACCATAGATCTCGATTGTGCCTTTCATTGCTGGTCGGACCCATCTATCGTATTGGCGTGGATTCGGCAACCTCCGAGGGAGTTCAACGTTTTTGTATCCAACCGGATCGCAAAAATTCAGGAGACGAAAGGAATGTCCTGGCATTATGTTCCGACTAACCGCAATCCGGCGGATGTCGTGTCGCGAGGCTGTACCCCTAAAGAATTGCTGGAGCATTCTCTTTGGGCTAATTGACCTCCATTTCTTTTGCAAAACTCACCGGAATGGCCTTCCCTGCTAGATGTAGCAAAGGATCTTCAAGAGCGTCGTTCCGCGACTCTAATTGGAACCGTGTGCGTTGACATTTCTGTTAACTACAAATTCCTTAACTCGTTTGATAAGTTGCAGCGTGTATTTGCGTACGTGTATCGATTTATTTCGAATTGCAGGTCCAAGCCTTTACCTTCAAATGGACATCTTTCCGATGAGGGGACCGTACTTCTTCTAAGGAACATCCAGCAGATTCACTAAGCCAAGGAGTATGGATTTCTTAGCCAGAGCAAGCCGTGTAAGCAGAAGAGCAAACTGATTTCGCTGAGGCCAATTCTTGGCACCGATAGATTACTTCGCGTTGGTGGAAGACTTCAAAATGCAAACTTGGACTATTATATGAAGCATCCGATATTGCTTCCCAAGGACCATCCAGTCACTAAAGCAATTATCGTGTATTTCCATAAAAAATACATGCACGCAGGATCGCAGGCGTTGCTTGCCACATTACGACAAAGGTATTGGCCGATTGGAGGTCGGAAGTTCGTGGCTAGCGTCATCAACAAATGCGTTAGATGCTTTCGGATGAGGCCTGTGACTTGGGAGCACGTCATGGGTAATCTTCCAGCGAATCGAGTTCAACCTAACCCATCATTTCATACGACAGGAGTCGACTATTGTGGGCCATTCTATCATAAAGCAGAGTCCCGGAACAATGCACCGCACAAGTGCTACATCGCCGTCTTTGTCTGCTTTTCCACGAAGGCCGCTCACTTGAAAGTCGTCCAGGACCTCACCACAGATTCCTTCATAGCAGCTCTGAGAAGGTTCATCAGCCTTAGAGGCAGTCCGCGAACTATCTGGAATGATAATGCGACTAACTTTGTCGGCGCCAAGAGCGAGTTAGGCGAGCTGAAGGAAATATTTTTGAGCGAGCAACATATAGCTTCGAAAGCTTCTTCGTGCCTAGCTGACGGGATAGATTGGAAGTTCATACCTCCGCGTGCCCCACACTTCGGTGGTCTATGGGAGGCCGCTGTCAAATCGGCCAAGTTTCACTTCTACAAAGTCGTCGGTCCATCCATCTTATCCCTCGATGAATTGAGAACTCTTGCCTACGAGATTTCTGCTATCCTTAACTCATGTCCCCTCTGTCCAATTTCAAAAAACGCTGAAAGCCTTGAAGTGCTAACGCCGGAAAAACTCGTTGTTTGGTCCAGCCCAAACAACTTAAATAACATCGCTTCTGTTTTCCTAACATCATAACTAAAAACTATTGTAACTGCCCTGCGAGGCAAACTCTCTTAAATTCGCTTGCCCTGCGAGGCAATTCTCTTAACCATCGCTTGTTCTTCGCTTATCATTTATCACTTCTTACTTCTTCGTTAAGCTCATGCAGCTGCATTGCATCGGCATTGCCAAAAATAGTCATCATCTGTCGTTGTTAGCTAACAGTCTTTAATAGTTGTCGTCGTTATCAAGATCGTTGCTAGATCGTTGCATTTAACGCTCAAACCAATTTGGGTTTGTCTGCGCATTCTTTCGTATTATTTTGTCGCCGCCCTTGTGCCGCTAAATAAACTCTTGTACTTAATAAACATAAGTGAAATAATTGAAACAAAACTTGTTATAATTTCCGTTGGAGCTAATTAAATACACTTTTATAAACCTAAAATAAATCTTTGTGTTATCTTGCCAAAAATAGTTAGTGAAAAAGCTCGCTAACTCAACATTTTGGAGGCCCCGGCGAGATAATCACAAATATTCAAAGTGAATTAATTATAAATTAATACAAGTCTTGCAACTTGTAATTCGCTGTAATTCGGAGGTCGTTGGCCGAGTGACATTTTGCCCTCTGTGCAAGTCGCGCTTGCGGTATTATCGGATGTTTTTTCTTCCTTTTGTGCTACGTTCGTTTGGTTAAATACAGGGTGTCTTGCCTTAGGTGAAACATGTCGGTCGAAGACAAAACCCTTTCGCCACAAACTCAAGCTACCTTTTTTAAGCTTAAAGCCGAATCAATTTGGCAACGAGCCGAAACAATAAATAAGCAATTAACAGTGGAAATGCTTAGAGGCATGTGTGACAATGATCTTAGTGTGCGAGAAGACCTTGTGAACAAATTAAGTGATTGTTTTTGCCTGGCTCATGACAACTTAGAAAAGGAAGACTACAATGAAATCGGGAGCCCATTACGCGATAATTTCGAAGAGCTTATAGCCACCCTAAAGGTCCGCATCCGTGCAGAAATTCGCAAACGCAATTCGACTGTGCCTTTATCGTCAACATTCCGCGCGGAAGATCCATTTTCGTCTCACTCGATTTTCGTAACTCAAAAATCTCGATTGCCGGACCTTAAGCTCCCAACATTTAGTGGCGGCTACACTCAATGGGCCGATTTCCATGCTATGTTTTCGACGATCATCGACAAGGATCCTGGACTCTCGAACATCGAAAAACTGCAACACCTGCGCTCCTGCCTCAAGGATGCGGCCCTCGACACCATAAAATCACTGGAAATCTCTGACAGCAACTACCGTATCGCTCTTGATGTATTAAATAACAGATTTAATAACAAACGCATTGTTTTTCAGGCACATGTTGCACAAATCTTTGGCCTAAAGACGATCGAAGCTGGGTCAGTTGGCAAGCTAAGAGAACTTTCTGATAAGCTTATCAGTCACATGCGGGCTCTTCAAGCATTAGGCGATCAAGAGCAAATTGCAAATTGCTTCATTGTTCAAGCCTTGGTGCAAAAGCTGGATCCACCTACCCAAGCCAAGTGGGAGGAGTCGTGCTCTGTTGACAGAATACCATCGTGGGAGGAGTTTTCGAAGTTTCTGGAAAGACGTTGCCAGACGCTAGAAAATGTGGAGCTTGCCATGGCTACCCATTCATCCAGCCACTCATCTGGAAGGCAAAATCGTTCTAGCATGGCCCTACTAGCTGCCAGTCCATCACGATGCCGATTCTGCAGCGATAGTGGCCACTCCATATATACATGCACGAGATTTGGTAATCTTTCCCCAGTACTAAGACTGAAGGAAGTAAAGAAGATGTCGCTGTGCATAAATTGCCTTAAAGACGGGCACCAATTGCGCTCGTGCAATTCTAGCGGCTGCAGAAAATGTGGATCTAAGCATCACACATTGCTTCATTTGGGAGACGCACCATTTCCAACGTCATCTGCAATGCCATCGCCAGCTCAGCCTGCGCCGGCCCCAGCTAATACAGCTCAAGGTTCTTCCAATCAGTACTCACTCGCTTGCACGCTGCCCTCTGACTCAGCTTCTTCCTCTTTCGAAGGACCTCAACTTTGCAACTTTGTGCTCTTGGCAACTGCTAATGTTTTTATTAAAAACAGAGCTGGTAGTCTAATACCTTCTCGTGCCATACTCGACTCAGGTTCGCAAGTTCACATTATAACATCAAGATTCGTACACCTTCTTCAGCTTAAAAGGATTAAATCTGCTGCTGCTGTATCTGGTCTTGGAGATTCTAGCTTCAAAACTACAGGATATGCTGTCCAGTTGAGTTTATCATCCAACTCTACCAATTACTCTGCAAGTATTGAAGCCGTGGTTGCATCCTCCATTGTCAACGACCAACCTGACTTCAATTTCGACTCATCGCCATGGAACATCCCGTCGAATCTACCATTGGCTGACCCAGATTTCAATAAATCGAAGAGGATCGACCTTCTCATAGGAGCAAGTTTGTTCTATGATTTGTTATGTATCGGACAAATCAAGCTTGGCCCTCATCTTCCCATGCTTCAAAAGACTCGACTTGGATGGGTTGTTTCTGGTGGCACGGCACAAACTTGCCACACTCTCGTTGCCTCTCAATCTATTTCAGATAAAATACCAGAGCTTGAAGATCGAGTTGATGATCTTCTACAGCGATTTTGGGAATTAGAATCCTGTCCTTTGGAAAGCTCAAAATTCACCAAAGAAGAAACGGAATGCGATGACCATTTCCAAAACACCTTCTTTCGACTACCCACTGGTGAATACGAAGTTCAGCTACCGAAAACTGGAAAAATCGATGGACTTGGAGAGTCATACCAACAAGCATTTCGCCGTTTCCTCAACTTGGAGCGAAAATTGGAACGCCGTCCTGATGTCAAGGAACAATACTCGAAATTCATAAAGGAGTATCTGGAACTCAATCATATGTCGCTTGTACCTCCAGAGGATAGAATGCACTGCAGATTCTTCCTCCCGCATCATTGCGTATTTAAACAGGATAGCACGACCACCAAACTGCGTGTCGTATTCGATGGATCAGCAGCTTCATCATCTGGAATTTCGTTGAATGACGTGTTGATGGCAGGACCTACCATACAGGCTAAGCTCTTCAATGTGTTAATCCGTTTTCGTACCTTTGCAGTTGCTCTCACTGGAGATATTGGAAAAATGTATCGCTGCGTTCGAATAGCCAAGTCAGACAGCTATTTGCAATGCATTCTTTGGCGCGGTTCTGATCAGGATGACATCAGCATCTACAAGTTGGACACCGTAACATACGGTACCAAACCCGCTGCTTTCCTATCAGTTCGAGCGATGCATCAGTTGGCCATGGATGAGCAGTCGACATATCCTGTAGGGTCTCAAATCGTCAAACGTGATTTTTATGTTGATGACTTAATCACTGGAGGCAGTTCCATTGAAGAAGTCGAGGAGATTCTTCACCAAACAAAGGATCTGCTATCGAAAGGCCACTTCATGCTTCGAAAGTGGTGTTCCAATGTCCCAGTCGTTCTCGAAAATGTTCCAGAAAAGGAGAAGGAATCATTCCTGAAGTTTCACGATGGAAGCGACATAACCAAAACTCTCGGATTGGCTTGGGATCCTGCATCAGATGTCCTTCTTTTCTCGTACTTGCCTACGCAGTCTACAATCAAGCCAAACAAACGTTCTGTGCTTTCGACAATATCAAGATTTTATGACCCGCTTGGACTCATAAGCCCGGTCATAACCAAAGCCAAAATCTTCCTACAGGAGCTCTGGAAGGAGAAGCTACACTGGGATGAAAGCTTGCCGGAATCTTTAAGCTCAACCTGGTCCAGTATATGCCTTCAGTTTCGCAGCGTGGAAAGAACGACATTTCCCAGATTTGCACTACTACCAAAAGGATCAATCGAGATTCATGGGTTTTGCGATGCTAGCATGTCCGCCTATGGAGCATGCGTATATATTGTATCCAGATCTGCTGACAAATCCACTGCTCAACTATTGTGCTCCAAGTCTCGAGTAGCACCCTTAAAGACTCTGTCGATTCCGAAGCTTGAACTGTGCGGAGCGCTTCTATTGGCCAATCTTCTGAGCGAGCTTAAAAAAATGGATACATTTTCAGGTCCATACTTCTGCTGGTGCGATTCAACCGTAGTCCTAGCTTGGCTGAATAGTGAGTCATCCCGATTCATAACTTTCGTTGCTAACAGAGTAGCAACCATCCAAAGACTGTCTGCCGGAATGGAATGGCTTCACATACCTACTACACTAAATCCTGCTGATATCATATCCAGAGGAGCCTTACCCATGGAATTGAACGCATCCGATCTCTGGTTTCATGGACCTTCGTTCTTGCTGCTACCGCGATCCAGCTGGCCGCCATCCCCTGCCCAAGAGCAGTGCTTCCTGGAGCTGCGCAAGGCAACGTGTCTGGTCTTGACGTCACCGATTGATCTGACATCTACGTGCAAGTTTGAAAATTCATTTCCTGCCATGTAGCGAATTTTCGCATGCATATACAAATTCTTGTTTCGACTTAGATCACCCACTCTGACTGTTTCAGATTTACAGAATGGTACACGCCTCCTAGTTCGAGCTGTGAAGCGAGCCACCATGTCGGCTGACTTAAAAGCAATTCAGGCCAACCATGTCCTGAAGCCATCAAATTGCTTGTCATCGCTGTCCCCATTCGTCGACGATTTTGGTCTTCTACGAGTCGGAGGTAGACTGTCAAACTCAAGTCTGCCCTTTGACTCTCGTCATCCAATGATCCTGCCCAGGAAGCATCCAATAACTTCGGCTATCATCAAGCACTTCCACGAAGAAAGCCTTCACGCAGGACCTCGTACATTGCTGGCCAGAATCAGACTCCACTATTGGCCCATCGGGGGGAGAAGAACAGTCGCTGCTGTGGTCACCAAGTGCATTCGCTGTTGTCGTGCTCGGCCACGTACACTTCAGCATGTTATGGCAGACCTGACAAAGGATCGCGTGGATTCTTGCAAGGCCTTCACTGTCACTGGAGTGGATTACTGCGGCCCATTCCTGTATAAGCCTGAGGGACGCAAACGCCAGCCGTTGAAGTGCTACATATGCATTTTTATATGCTTTGCAACTAAAGCAGTTCACATGGAACTAGTGGCTGATTTATCCACACCAACATTCTTGGCAGCCTTCAGACGATTTATTGCAACAAGAGGTCGTCCCAAATGCATTTGGTCTGATAATGCAACCAACTTTACTGGAGCCAAGAACGAGCTTGCCGAACTTCGTCGCTTATTCTTAGCTGAGGACCATTTAAAGGCAATCGAGAGCTTCTGTCTAGCAGACTCCATCGAATGGAAATTCATTCCACCCAGATCGCCTCACTTTGTTAAGACAGCCAAGCATCATCTTTATCGCACTATTTCGCAATCCACACTTGGATTTGATGAGTTGCGCACCATCGTTTGCATGCTATCATCAACTCTAGACCGCTGCTGCCCCTATCAGAGGATCCAGCAGACCTTGATGTCCTGACTCCGGCACATTTTTTAACTGGCGGTTCTGCTACCAGTTTCAGCGAACCAGATCTATCTAACTTAAATGTCAACCGACTTGATCGTTGGCAGAAAATTTCTTATTTGCAGGAAACTTTTTGGAAACGCTGGCGTGAAGAATACCTGACGCTCCTTCAGCAGAGATCCAAGTGGCGTTCTCCCCAACCCAGTCTGCAAGTCAACGATGTCGTCCTAATTAAGGATGAAAATCTACCACCACTTAAATGGCCATTAGCTCGTGTACTAGAGCTGGTAAAGGGGAAGGATGAAATCTGTCGAGTCGCTGTCCTGAAGACTGCAACAGGAATAACCAAGAGAGCTGTCGCCAAACTGTGCCTTTTGCCTACGAAGGATGATGTTGAAAGCCCTGGCCTTCCAACGGGGGGAGAATGTTTGGTCCAGCCCAAACAACTTAAATAACATCGCTTCTGTTTTCCTAACATCATAACTAAAAACTATTGTAACTGCCCTGCGAGGCAAACTCTCTTAAATTCGCTTGCCCTGCGAGGCAATTCTCTTAACCATCGCTTGTTCTTCGCTTATCATTTATCACTTCTTACTTCTTCGTTAAGCTCATGCAGCTGCATTGCATCGGCATTGCCAAAAATAGTCATCATCTGTCGTTGTTAGCTAACAGTCTTTAATAGTTGTCGTCGTTATCAAGATCGTTGCTAGATCGTTGCATTTAACGCTCAAACCAATTTGGGTTTGTCTGCGCATTCTTTCGTATTATTTTGTCGCCGCCCTTGTGCCGCTAAATAAACTCTTGTACTTAATAAACATAAGTGAAATAATTGAAACAAAACTTGTTATAATTTCCGTTGGAGCTAATTAAATACACTTTTATAAACCTAAAATAAATCTTTGTGTTATCTTGCCAAAAATAGTTAGTGAAAAAGCTCGCTAACTCAGCACTCGTTTTAATCGAAAATGAATGTCTTTCAGCATCAAATGACGGCTGCGGCTGCGCGAGCAGAAAAGAAAATTTTAAAACGGGTTTCAAAAGAGGCAGACGAGAACGAAATGACACAAAATTCTTTCCAACGTCCCAAGCGTGGTCGACCAAAAAAATCGACTACGTAGAAGACAGCGATGAAACAGAGGATTATGTGTCCCTTCCTATTTTTTTTTAATTTCAATTTCTTATTTTTACTTTTATATATTCGTTGTAACATGTAATATCCATTTGAATTGAATAAAAAATTTTTCTTAGAAGTTATTGACATTATTTGGGTACTTAACTACACTGAAACCAGAATGGCGTTTTTACCCCACTAGGTGGGGTAAAACCGCCGTTTTAAACTTTTCTTCTGAACGATCACAATTGTTTTAAAATAAAAGCTACAATACATAAAAACTTTCTAAATGAGTTATGTAGCCAAGGGATTAAACTTTCAGAAATATGGTTTGGTTCATTGATCATTTTATAAATGATAGTTTGACATCGCCAAATATACATTTATGGCGGATTTACCCCATCTTACCCTACACTTAATTTAACTAAACCTATTCGTGCGTTTGGTTATTTACAAGGGTGGCATATTCGTTGTATTCCGCATAAACACATAGCTATAACAACAATTTCAAAAAATAGCCCCTTCGACCGCATTATTAGAACAAACTCTAAAGATGACCAAGTACAGAAGACAAAACTTGAGAATGAACAACTCTCTGACTACAAACTACACACAAAAAAAAAACAACATCAAAAAGACATTATGTCAACCCTAGAAAAGAACTTCCCATTATTCGTGAAAACAGAGATATACAATTTGTGCAATGAATATACAGACATATTTGCTAAACAAGACGATAAAATTACATGTAATAACTTTTACAAACAAAGACTAACCTTGAAAGACAATACACCAGTATACAAGTTAACACGGTCTCTCAGCAGAACGGAAGTTCCCAGGCTGATAATGCTTAACAGAATAAAAAAATGCAAGGCTAGCGACACCTGCGGACGTTGCACAACGACGTTGCCAAAATCCCAGGCTTCGGTCAGCGCAATCAGCGGGCAATACACTCCGATGCAACGGCGGCTACCCAACACCATGCATGGGCAGCCGGGTCAGCACTTTTAAATAAAATGCTAATAAACTTAGCATTTAGTTGAATTTTGGAAATAAACGGTGACGGTCAAACCTCGCAATTACAAAGTATTCTCATTCGCAAATTAAAATCGCGTCTTAAATAAATCCTAAAAGGGACATATTGTTAATTGGCACCCAATGCGTCGTAAGACCCTCGACCCGTGTTAAATAAAAAAAACAACGCGTCGTAAGACCCTCGACCTTTGTACGAAAAAAACGCGATCGTAAGACCCTCGATTCGAAGTTTAAATAAAAACATTAAATAAAAAAATATAAAACACGATCGATCCGTTAAAAAAAAAAAACAAAAAACTGCAAAACAACGTAAACCCAACAAAACCAGCCAACAACAACAACACAACCAAATAAAAATAAACCAGGAACGACTACAAAAGCGCAGCTGAATTAAAAGAAGGAAGACACCCGACAGCGGAAACAACATTTAGCTCTATTATTGAATAAAAATCATGTAAGTAGAGTATTCATTGATACGCCCAGCAGCAACAGCAGCAGCCGCAGCAGCAACAACAGCAGCCGCAGCAGCAACAACGGCAGCAGCGACAGCAGCAGCAGCCGCAGCAGCATCTGCGCAAGCGCAAGGTCGGCGCGGAAGGCCGCGGCCGGCGGCAACATCCAGGGGCGAAGTGGAGGCGTCGGCGCTCGTCGTCGGCACTCCAGCTACTGGCGTCGCCGTTAGTGTCGCGGTCCCCGTCGCCGGCCTGGCGCGACGTGTCGGAAAGGGAGATGTCCTCCGACGAGGAGGTCGACGGCGGTCCCACCGGCGAGATGGAGACGGTGGAGTTGTCGTCGACGGTGACCCCCGTGGTCTCCTCGGATGAGGAGGGCACTCGGTGGGCCAACCAGGCCCGGAGGGGTTACCGTCAGGTGAGGCGGGTGGTGGACAACGAGGGATATATCCCGTTCGGGTCGGCGGCCTCGTCGGAGAGGCCGGAGAACGAGGAGGATATAGAGGCCCGCCGACGGGCAACGATCGGTAGGATGGTGGAGCGGCAGGCGGAATGGATGGCTGCCGTGAGGGAGTGGCGAAGAAAACTGCAGCAAGCGGAGAACGAGGAGGCCGCGCTGTGGACACCGGCACCTCCGCTGGCAGCGCCCTCGGAGCCGCCGTTGCCACCCACGCCGCCGCCGAGGACGCCGACGCCACCACCACCGCCGCCGCCGAGGACGCCGACGCCAATACCACCACCGCCGCCGACGATGAAGGGGACACCGCCGAAGACGCCAACGCCACCACCACCACCGCCGAGGACGCAGACAAAGCCACCACCACCACCGCCGAGGACGCAGACACCGCCACCACCACCACCGCCGAGGACGCAGACACCGCACCCACCACCACCGCCAAGGAAGAAGACGCCGGCGCCGCCGCCAAGGACGCCCACGCCGCCGAGGAGGCCGACGCCACCGTCGCAGCCACCGCTGCCGCTCGCGTCGCCGCCGAGGACGACGCCGCCACCACCGCCACCACCGCCGCCACGTCCACGGCTGCAGAGGCAGACATCGTGCCCGGTGGCAGCACCGCCGAGACGACCCACGTTAATGCGGGGATTCTCCCAGGAGGCAACCTGGGTGGAGGTCCCCGAGGACACGTGGCCGGACACGGTGCGCGCGGAGGCGGAGCGGCAGCGCCGTCGAGGGAGGACCCAGCGGTGGGCGAGGTTGATGGAAAATAAAGATAAAGAAAAAAAGGACACAAAAACCACCGAGTTGTATTGCCACGGGGGGGCTGGAGGAGGGGGGGAGGGGGGCTGGGATGCAAGCAGGAGTCACTGGAGGTACTTGGGATAGGTCAGGACGACACCACGAACACACACGAGTATATTTCGGTGGAGTTAAGAAACCGCACGCACAAGATCACAAAAAGGTGAATTTAAATCACATAAAAAAAATAATAATAAATAATGTTAATCCAGCGGCGGCTGCATCAGGTCCAGCGAGGGCAGGTGGAGGCGGGCGATCCGCAGATAAGCAGGCGGGCTGGAAACAAAAGGAAAAAAAAGAGTAAAGGTTAGGCACGTACGCAAAAGGTACACAACAAAACTCACCTGAGGCAATGCCCTTACGGCCAGCCTGTGGCATGCCACAGAACGGGGAGCCGTGGGGTAGCGGAGAAGGAGCGGACGTCCAGCAGGGGGCGGTCCAGCAGTACACACGGGGTGGGTTCGACGTGCATCAAGAGTGCCCTGGAGCCAGCCGGAGTCTCTGGAGGACAGACGGTGAGTTGTTACACGAGTTAGCAAAATAAATTAAAACTCAAAAACTTACCTGGGAGCCCACGGCCAAATCCAGACGGCCAGCCAGAGCGGGGAGCCGCGGCGAAGGGGAAGGGAAAGGGGTGGGACGATAGCCGGGCATGTGGGCCTGCCGGGACGCGCTAGCCAGGGTCAGCGCCCCGGCGCATACATCAAGAGACGGCGTCCGCGGCTCAACCCGGCTTGGAGTGGCTAAAAAAGGAACATTTTTTTTTTTTTTTTTTTTTGAGCTTTATCTTTATTTATTGAATTTTCTCTTGAAGAGACTTACAATAAGAATTCAGATCTTAACCTATACAATGTATTATTAATGTATATTATTTATTATTATTTATTTGTTATATTATGATGATTATTAATTGGTCGACAGCCCTCAGTTGGGCAGGAGTGGGCGGTCGTTGCGCTGTAGACGAGAGTGGCTCCTGAGCCGCCTGAGCTGCCTGGCTAGTTGGTTTGGATGTATTGATAATCTATTTTCGTATTTCAAAACTTTACTATCAATTTCTTCTTTGACGGGTTTTATATCCAGGTCCCTATGGATGTTTGCGTTGCGAATATACCAGGGGGCCCCCGTTATTGTTCGCAGTATCTTCGACTGCACACGTTGGATGATTTCTATGTTGCTGCTGCTTGCGTTCCCCCAAAGTTCAGACCCGTACGTCCAGGTTGGCTTTAGACATAGTAGAACTTTGTATTCCAGCGGAAGAGGTGAGCGAGGGTTGATGAGCCAGTGTAAACTATTGGCCTTGAGTTTTAGGGAGGTCTTCTTCGCTTCAATGTGCCTTCTCCAGGTAAGCCGCCTGTCTAAGTGGATGCCCAGGTAGGTGACTTCGTTGACTTGGGGGATAGAATTGTTTGACTGCTTGTAGGAATATCAGCCGTGTACAGGACATACAAGATCGGTCCGAGCACACTTCCTTGGGATACTCCAGCCTTGATTTTGTGGTTTTCAGAGAAGAAATTTTTGCATCTTACAGTAAAAACTCTATCTTTGAGGTAAGATTCAAGCAACTTATGGGTGTTTTGTGGCAAAACGGTCTTGATTTTGTAAACTAGACCTTCAATCCATACGCGATCGAAGGCTTGAGACACGTCCAGGAATATGGCACTGCAGTATTCCCTGTATTCAAAAGCTGTGCGTATTTCAGCTGTTATGCGATTTACCTGTTCGATAGTTCCGTGCTTTTCCCTAAAGCCGAACTGATGCAGGGGAATCGCTCTGTTGTTTTGGAGGTGTGTTCTTAGGTGGCATGAAATCAGCTTTTCAAATAGCTTTGATAAGCACGGAAGGAGGCTAATGGGCCTGTATGACGAAGGTTGGGATTTGTCCTTGCCTGGTTTCGGTATCATTGTGATAACGGACTTTTCCCATTGCAGAGGAAAATAGCCCCATTTGAGTATTGAGTTGAATATGGTGGTGATGAATTTAACTGCACATGCTGGCAGTTCAATTATCATTTTAGGCGAAATTAAATCATGGCCGGGGGCTTTTTTTGGATTCATCTGTTCTACAATGGCTTTTGTGACTGTACTTGTTTCAAGAATGATTGTGGAGGAAGGCTCTGCTGGTGGGATGTTTGGCAGAGTAAATTGATTCGCCGGCGGATGAGGTTGGAAGACGTTTTGTAAGTGAGAGGCGAAGATGTTGGCCTTTTCCTCGTCACTACGCGCCCATACACCTGAGGGTGATCGAATTGGAAAATCGGGCTCTATAGGTGGTTGAATGTTTGGGTGCGCTCTCCAGAGTGGAAATTTGTTGCTAGTGGGTGAGAGCTTTGCTATATACGCGCGTTGAGCCTGATTCTTCTCAGTTATGAAGGCTTTAGATAGCTTCCGACAGGCTTCTTTAAAGCTTTGTTTAGTGGCTGGGGATCGGTGTGTCTGCCAGTTTCGGCGAAGTCTACGCTTTTCTTGAAGGAGCGATTGGATCTGCATGTTTGTACGCATAGTATTTGGGAGGGATGTAGCTAAAGGGTCAGGTGTAGAGTGTTTGGCAGCTGAGGACATTACATCTGCTATGTGCTTAAGTGAGTTTTCAATGTCAGCTTCACACGAGATATTGGGTTCGATTTCAATGTGGGAGCTGATATATTTTTTATACTTTAGCCAGTTTGTTGTATTGGAAGTCAGAAATTGTGGTCGCTTTACAAGCTGTGGGTGTTCAATTAGGCAGAGAAGAACAGGCGAATGATCAGATGAAAGTTCCGCCAGTGTTCCAACACGAATCAGCCTGGGCGGCACTAGTTACGGCAAAATCGACAATGTCTGGTTGTTTATTCGGATCTGCTGGCCAGTATGTAGGACTACCCGGTGAAACAAAATCTAGCTTATTACTAGGTTTGATAATAGCATTGTATAGTTGTCGTCCTTTGGGGTTAATAAGCCGAGAGCCCCAGTAGTGGTGTTTTGCATTATAGTCACCGGCAGCTACAAAGCAGTTACCTAGTGAGTTATAGAAGCCCAAAAATTCATTTTCTGGAATATTGAATCGTGGGGGACAATACACAGCTGATAGTGTGAGTGGGCCGCTGGTTATATTGATACGTATGGATGTGGCCTGCAAGTAGTTAGAAGCGAATGCGTCCTGAGGATGATGCTTTATGCGCTGAGAATGCCGGTGCCTCCATGCGCTTTGCCATCTGGATGGTTGGTCGCGTGAAATACATAGCCGGTGAGATAAAAATAGTTTTTATTGGTTAGGTGTGTTTCCGAGAGAAGCATGATATCGATATCATGGTTGTTTAGGAACTGTAGGAGTTCGTATTTGTGTTGGGAAACGCCGTTGGCGTTCCAGAAGCATATTTTTAAGGGATTCATTTAGATTGTTTAATCAAAAGCTCCAAAAGAAGATTTTGGTTTCGCGTTAGGTCTTGCAGGGTACTTTGTATCGATAGCATAATTTTTGTAAGCGTAGCTAGTGTGTGTTCAAGTCCGCTATGTGCTGGTGGGGGGGGAAGCTGGTTTTGCTGAGTAGTGGGTTGAGTTGTTCGCTGGGTATTTTGCTCTGGCAGCGAGTCATCTTTTCGATTTGGTATGGGCTGGAGAGAATGCACAACTTCAGGGTGAGAAAGACTTACTGGCACTGGCGATGCTCCAGAGTATCGAAGAGCTCTGGCAAAGGAGACCCCGGGTGTTGTTACTGATGGCGTGAAGTAGTTTGGTTGAACAACATGTTGAGCGGTAGTCGGTTTGCTGCGCCTCTGAGTCAGACGAGTCTTGAGTTCTTTATAGATAGGGTAGCCCCTATAGTTGGCAGTGTGGTTTCCACCACAGTTACTACATTTCCTCGTTGCAGGATCTTCTTTGTTTCTCAGACATGCATCTATGCAGTGCAGATCACCACAGGCGACACAGACTAATCGCAAGGTGCAGTAGCTCCTTGTGTGCCCAAACTCCTGACAGTTAGTACATTGTACCGGGCCGTTTCGCTTGTGTGATTCCTCTACGGTAATTCTTCGGTGAAGGAGATATTGTAACTTGTAAATAGGGTGGACTGCATTTTTCTTAAGAGGTGCAGTCTCTGGCGCCAGTTCAATCTTAAATAGCGGCTGAGGGATTTTTGCCCTGTTGATTATATTGGTTACATGTTTAACGTCAAAACCTTGCTCTTTTAGTCCCTCGGCTATGTCAGCTACTGGGACGGTTGATTCTATTCCTTTTACTACAACTTGTAGCCCTTTGCTACTTTTGAGCTGGTAGGTGTAGTAATTTACCGGCACATGGTCGAGGAAATTCGTCACAGTGCGGTAGTTGCTTTCATTTTTTATTTGGAGTTTGGTTTCTGATATATTACCTCTTTTTAGGTTGGTAATGTAAAAGTTATTTGGCCCGATTTTTTGTTTAAGATTGTTAATAAGCTCCGAGCAATTGTGTTCCCTAATGTATATAGGGGGTGGCTTTACATCTTTGGTGGGTTGAGGCGGTTGACCCTCATCTTCTCCAAGGTCACCAAGTATAGAAAATCTATTTTCAGAAGTTGCCTTGTTGTTGTTGCCTGAGGTTTTCGATACTTTCGGCAGGTTTGCATTAGTTTTTTGTGGGCTAAGCTTTCTTTTTATTTGTACATACCGATCGATCCCGGTCTGTACAAGCGTAGTTTGTGGGAGAGAGGCAGCAGAGACACATTTTAATTGCGATGACAATATCGGCCACAAATTTGCCACCGACGTTGAAGTTGTTGTTGTCGTCGTCGAAACAACAGTTGTAATAGAGGGCACCGTGCTGGTCAGCGCAAGAGCTGACGTAGTCAGTGCAATGAGTGGTGAGAGTGGAGATGGGCATTGGGAGCTCCACGACTGGGCCATGACAGCGCTGCTTGAGCTTAGGAGTGCAGGTGACAGTGAGCGCGCTCTCTCGGGAGCCGTCAATGACATTGCTTTTATTGTTGCGTCTTCGTTACTTACTGTCTCCGAAACAATTGCTACATAAGCATTATTCCGGGCAGAAGACAGTCGGCGTTCGTCTTGCTTTTGTTGTTGTTGCATTCGACTTTGACTCGTGGCTTTACTAGTTGCACTTATTATTGATTTGCCCGCAGGCATTGTATTTTGTTTGAGATTAGTTGTTTTCTTCACTTTGATCTGTTAGAAAACTAGGTAATGGAGCTAATATGATTTGGCATTGCTGCCAGCGTCTTTTCGCTACTATTTCAGTTTTTATTTCACTTAAATATCGAGCTAATTGACTCGCTTGGCGGAGCGATCAAGAAACACGTCTGCACGGGGCAAAAGTAGAACAAGGAACATTTAAGTGGTAAGAATCACAAAAGTAAAATCAAGTACTTACCAAAACAAAAACCACGAGGCCGGCGAACATTGGGAATGGGGTCGCCACGATAACGGCGGTCGATCGATAGTGCGATCGATGGGAGCAAAGAAAATACTGGAAATATCGCTGGCCGGTCACGCTAATTATGACTGCAGCCCTAAGGAGTGGCAACGCCACGATCGATCGAGATGAGTTATCGATTGTGCGCGGGGAAAATACTACGCGGGAAACGGTTCGAATTCAAACGAGGATCGGAAGGAGTCGCGTGCTGGGAGTTTTCGACAGTCAAGATGCCCTAGTCAAGAAGCCCAACGGCGGGAAGTCTACATAAGCTGAAACTTAGGTGCTGAGATTGGAGGAGCTCTCAGCCGTGGCGAGAGGAGCTCGACGAGGGAGTGGCAGCGGCCACAAGGATCGAGGAAGGACGTGTGCGCAAGGAGCCATGGGGGTCAAGATGCCACAGTCGAGATGCTGAACGACCAGGTAGGGTCCAATAGGCTGAGGCTGTCCGGCTGAGATCCAAGAGGCCCTTAGCCGCACTCAGGAGTTGGAGGTCGACGTGGGAAGGAGGCGATTCGAGGACGTTTTCCCCAGGAAATTCCGGAGACCGAAGCTTTCAAAAGTTTCCGAAGGAAGGGGGAGATGTAAGGAGTTGTAAATCTCCTTACAATTTTGAGTGCAGGGGAGCTGCATGGCAACGGCGAGATGCGCTGTGTGCGGTGGTAAAAAAGGGAAATAACGGCTTAAAGGACTTTGGACTCAATGCTGCGGTGAGTCTGCAGACTTTGGACCCAATAACGGTGAGTCTGCGGATTTCGGACCCGCGCAAAGAGGAGAGACCGTGAACTAACGGTACCGTTCCAGACTTTGTACCCGTTATAACGGTGAAGTCCTGAACTTTGGACCCGTATAACGGTGAAGTTCGCGGACTTTGGACCAGCACAAAAGGAATGACCGTGAACTAACGGGACTGGTCCTGCACTTTGGACCCGATCACGCCACTTGTCCTGCACTTTGGACCCGATCACGCCACTTGTCCTGTACTTTGGACCCGATCACGCCACCGAAGGAGGGAAATTACGGGACCAGGATGGCCTATAAAAGGAGGACGCGTGCAGGCAGCAGGACAGTCAAGTGAAAGTCGTACAAGAGATCGTACCAACGCGAGTGAAAGCCCAAGTGAACAACAAGTGCCAGGATACCCGGAATCAAGATCGCCGAGTCGAGAAGCCCAACGACGGTCGCGTCTACATAAGCTGAGACTGCCAAGCTGAGATCCCGAGGGTACAAGGTAGGTTGTAGGGTGCGTCTACGAGTCTCGAAAACGACGATATTGGTGGAGTCCGAGTAAGTGGATGTTGTGCGAAAGGTACCCAGCGTCGGTTCGCATGAGAGATTGAGAACCTGCTGAGGGCCAGCTGACGAAGATCCAGTGGATGTTGTGCGAAAGGTACCCAGCGTCGGTTCGCATGAGAGATTGAGAACCTGCTGAGGGCCAGCCGACGAGAATCCGAGGGAGTTGTGCGAAAGGTGCCCGGAGTCGGTCCACACGAGAGTGAGGACCTGCCGAGGCCCAGCCGACGAAATCCCGACCGAATTCAGGGTAGAGCGTGGAGTGTTGACTGCAGCAACGCTGCTTAGCCCTCCAGTAAGGTTTTCTGCTCAATATCCGCCAAGTTGTGAGAGACTCGTAGCGAACCTAGTTCGCGACCGGTGCCCGAAAGACTCCGCAATACAAGCAATAAACCCAGCACACATATTCTAAATCTAACCTAACTCTGCGTTCTTCTTTGGTCCCGGGGTCACGCAACAATAAATTTGGTGGGACGAACACACAAACTCAACTGAGCTAGCCGCACGTTTACGTAGCGAGCGAAGACATAAAAAAGCAGTTCGTTACATCTGGCGCCCAAGCGTGATACTCAGACCAAAGAGACCAGAAAATAGGTTTAGAATGGGGAAGTCCTGGTTATACAACCTTAAAAAGGACGATTTCCCGGCGATCGCAAGCGCCCTAGGCATCGAGCTAGAGGGCCTTGTAGAGGACATGAGGCGGACTCTGGCCGAATTCATCGACCATTCCGAGCATGATCATGAAGCGCTGGCAATTCTGGCGGCCCTGGAAAGGGATTACGCCAAGTACCCGTCGGTCGGCCTGAAAGTCACCGGAGCCGAGGGCCTGGTGCGCAGCCTGGACGTGAGCAGCATGCAGAACGCCGGCAGGAGCAGCAGCCGCGACCGACGAGAGAGCAGCAGGGAGAGGAAGAGCGACAACCGCGAACAACGTGCGGAGAATGGAAGACCCGGACAGGATTATGCCAAGATCGCAAAACAAGTCAGGGAGTGGAGTTTCCGTTACGACGGGAATGAGAAGCCCCTGGAGTTCCTCGAACAAGTGGAGTGGTCGGCCATGACATACGGGTTAGGCATCAACCAAATTCCGAGGGCGATGCCGGAACTGCTTCAGGGCAGAGCGCTCAAATGGTTCATCGCCAACAACAGGTTCTGGGAGACCTGGGGCGGATTTAGCCAGAGCTTCCAGGAGTTCTTTTTGCCCAGGGGATTCATGAACAAACTCGCAGATCAAGTCAGGCAGAGGAAGCAGAACTACGGCGAAAGCTTCAAGGACTACATGGTAGACATGCAGACATTGATGCGACCCCTGGGCTTGAACAAGGACGAAATCTTGGAGCGGATTAAGGAAAACAGCACCCCGACACTACGGCTGTTTATCCGCCCCTACAGGTGCCAGAACCTGGATACCCTGATGGCACTAGCGGACGAATTTGAGGAGCTCGTCCAGCAGAGAGAACGGTTCGAGCAAGAAAATGTCACAAAAGCCCGATACCATGCGCCGGCCACGAGGAGGGAATCAGCAGCAACGTGCAGGCGCTTTCAGGAGGAGCCAGACGAGCGTAACGCACGGCCGGGGTATGTGAATAATCCATCCCAGGCATGCCGGAGATGCGGAAGCCAAGACCACTGGGCGAAAGAATGCCGCAACAGAAGAATCGCATTCTGTTGGAGATGCGGGAATATAGGCGTCATAAACGGCGAATGCTGCGCACGAGCGCGAAACGCCAAGCGACCTCAGCCACCGAGGGGCGGCCAGGGATCGCAAGGTGCTGCCTCTCGAAACTAATGGGCGACCTGAAGGCGGAAGAGATGTTTAAAAGATCCCAGATCTAATTGATTTCGCGGTTACAAAAAACATCCCACGCAACCTAATAAGCGCCACGGCCCTACCCGATCTCTCATCAGACCACTCTCCATTGTTGATAACCCTTCTTCAAAGCCCAGAAATTACGGACTACACCTACAGGCTGACGTCGCACAGAACTGACTGGATGAAATATAGGAAGTACGTCAGTTCTCACATTGAACTTAACACCCAGCTCAACATCGAAGAGGACATCGACTGCTCTACCGCCGCCCTGGAAGAGGTACTCGACACAGCAGCCAGGATCTCAACACCACAACGACATGATGTGCAAATAAAGAAGTTCAAAACCAACCTGCAAATCGAACAGCTCGTTCTGAAAAAGAGGCGTCTGCGAAGGGCGTGGCAAACCAGCAGATCGCCATGCTCAAAGCAACGTCTAAATGAAGCCACCCGCAAACTAAACCGGGTTCTGAAGCAAGATGCCGAAAACGCCCAACTGAGATATATCGAGAAACTCTCTCCAACAAGTGCAAAGCATCCTTTGTGGAGGGCTCACCCAAATCTAAGCTCGTCGGCTGAAACCGTCTCCCCGATAAGAAATTCTTCAGGTGGCTGGGCGCGCAGCGACACAGACAGAGCCGAAACATTTGCCTCACATCTCAGGGGCGTCTTCCAACCGAATCCCGCCGCAAGTCCTTTCGTTCTACCGGAAATCCAAACTGAAAGCGAATCCACAATACCATCGTTTCGACCGAATGAGATCACCAAAGTCATCCGAAGGCTAAAACCGAAAAAGGCTCCCGGCGATGACCAAATAACTCCGAAAATGATAATTGAACTTCCAAACTGTGCTATTGAGGTCATCTGTAAACTCTTCAATGGGATCATAAGTCTTGGCTACTATCCAAAAAAAATGGAAAAAGTCAATAATTATAATGATACCAAAGGCCGGAAAAGATCACACGATTCCGTCCTCTTACAGACCAATAAGTCTTTTATCATGCCTGTCGAAACTGTTCGAAAAATGCCTTCTAACACGCATTTTACCATATATGGGAGCTTATAACATTATCCCAGCCCACCAATTTGGCTTCAGAGAAAAACATGGAACTATCGAGCAAGTCAACAGAATAACATCAGAGATTCGCACAGCCTTCGAACATAGAGAATACTGCAGCGCGATATTCCTCGACGTATCTCAAGCATTCGACCGCGTCTGGCTCAACGGTCTGATGTATAAAATCAAAACACACTTTCCCGGGTACACTCATAAATTACTCGAGTCGTATCTCTACAACAGAGTCTTCGCAGTGAGGTGCAACACAACAACATCCGAAAACTATAAAATCGAAGCTGGAGTCCCACAAGGAAGCGCACATGGACCAACTCTATTCGTCCGTTACACAGCGGATATTCCCACGAGCGACCGACTACTAACATCCACCTTCGCTGACGATACTGCGATCCTCAGCCGCTCCAGATGCCCAGTCCGTGCAACATCCCAATTAGCCAACCACCTCACGGTAATAGAGAAGTGGCTATCCGACTGGCGTATCAAAATAAACGAACAGAAGTGTAAGCACGTAACGTTTACTCTCAACAGACAAACATGCCCTCCGATCCACTTGAATAGCACAATGATCCCCCAAGTCAACGAAGTAACGTATCTCGGCGTCCACCTCGACAGACGTCTAACATGGCGTAGACACATCGAATGCAAGAAACTACATTTAAAACTAAAAGCCAGCAGCCTCCACTGGATTATAACGCCCGATCGCCCATGTGTCTGGACTACAAGGTACTGCTCTACAACTCCACTCTTAAACCAATCTGGACGTATGGCTCCCAGCTCTGGGGAAACGCGAGCAAAACTAACATAGACATCATACAGCGCGCTCAAGCAAAGATCCTGAGAACTATCACTGGGGCACCATGGTATATTCGAAACGAAAACATCCACAGGGACCTTGGCATTCTCGCAGTAAAAGATGAAATAGAAAAGCAAAAAGCGTCATACAAGGAAAAACTCTCAGCACACCCAAATCCTCTTGCAAGGGATCTGACTCGGGTTTCCAGAAGAACCCGCCTGCAACGTAACGACCTTCCAACCCAGCCATAATTTGTCAGGGCCATTTTTAACTGTTCCAGTCTATATGACTGATAGTTAGGTTATAGTATAAGATTTGATACACTTATTGTTAGTCTCGTAAGGAGAAGATTCAATTAATAGAGCAAAGCTTTAAAAAAAAAAAAAAAATTATTACTACACTAGCCGGCATATATATTTTGACAAAATAAAAGTGAAATATACTCGAAACCTGAACTTGCTTCTTTTAGCTTTTGGTATCAATGGAAAGGTAATTCAAATGCCTTTTGAATGATACCATACTTTTCTCAACTCATTCGATATTTATTGAAAAGGGCAATTTAAAAAAAAAAAGTAAAAAAAAACTTTTTCCCTCGGCTTCAAAACTAAAATTTTTGGATGCAAAAAGTTTCTTTAATCAAAAATAATAGGAACTGCAAAAAGAATTTTTCAAAAATAATTTTTCTTCTATTTTTAATTAATTTAATTTTTTTGAAAATGACTAGAAATACGCATTTCAGCCGTATTTTTCTCTTTTCCATACAAATTTTTTCCGACATTGTCACCTTTAAAAAATCATTAAAAATAGAAGAAAAATTATTTTTGAAAAATTCTTTTTGCAGTTCCTATTATTTTTCATTAAAGAAACTTTTTGCATCCAAAAATTTTAGTTTTGAAGCCGAGGGAAAAAGTTTTTTTTTACTTTTTTGTTGAAAATGGCCCTTTTCAATAAATATCGAATGAGTTGAGAAAAGTATGGTATCATTCAAACGGCATTTGAATTACCTTTCCATTGATACCAAAAGTTAAAAGAAGCAAGTTCAAGTTTCGAGTATATTTCACTTTTATTTTGTCAAAATATATATGCCGACCAGTGTATGTCATCGGCATAGCCTTGACATTGTATTCCTCTGTCGGCGAGTTTCTTTAGTAGTTCATCTACTAGTAGGCTCCACAGTAAAGGAGACAAGACTCCACCTTGCGGACATCCTCTGCTTGTGGCAACGGTCATTGTGCTGTTGCCAATGGTCGCCATTGCCTGCCTGGAGCTTAACAAGGCTCCAATCCACCTTCTTGTTGTCGCGTCTATATTCCTTCTGGCGAGGGCCGCTAAGACAGCATCATGCGACGCATTGTCAAAGGCTCCCTCTATATCCAGAAAGGCGCAGATTGCAACTTCTTTGTTGTCCACTACCCCTTCAAGAGTGTAACAAAGTTGGTACAGTGCAGTGTCTGTTGAACGACCTGCCCTGTATGCGTGCTGCGTGGGTTGCAGCGGACAGTCCTTAAGAACTGTGCTCCTAATATGGTACTCTACCAGCTTTTCCAACGTTTTAAGGCAAAACGAAGTTAAGCTGATAGGTCTGAAGGACTTTGGGTTGGTGATGTCTTTCTTCCCTGCTTTGGGGATGATTGCTATGCAATTGCTCGGCTGCTTAGCATCAGTCTCTTTAAGCGGGTTAGGAGTAAGTCCAGTCCCTGCTGCAGGAATGATGGAGAGATACCATCCAGACCAGGTGACTTAAATGGCTGGAAGGTCACAATTGCCCATTGAGGTCTCTCCGGGGAGACTAGAGACTTGGCAATTGCCCAGTCCTCTGCGCTTGGTCTGAGATATCTTGGAGTGGACGTTGCCTCCATTTGGTTGGCCGTATATTCCGCCAGGGGTGAGCTCCCAGAGAAGTGTGTTTCAAAGAGTAAAGCTAGTTTATCCCTGTCGTTGGAAGTTTAAGAGTTGTCACATTTCCTCAGGGCTAGGTTACTTTCTGGTGCAACTTTGGCCATAGCCTTGTGCAATCTTGCCCCTTCATGGGCTGTGCTGATTGCCTCACAGAAGTCTCTGTAGTTCTTCCGTTTGGCCTTCCTGATCTCTTTGTTGTAGAGCGTCAGGCTTTGTTTGTATTGTCTCCAGTTATCCTCGCTCGTTTTTGCTCTGTTAAAGAGCCGGCGGGTGGAGATTCGGTGCCGTTCCAGGTTGTCATTCCACCATGAGGCGTCTCTATCTGCTTTCCGTCTGCCAAGAGGGCAACTGTCCTCAAAAGCATTGGTTATCTTCTTGCAGAGGTTATCCACTGCCTGATCCAATTCTAAAGAATGTCTGGGTATACCTGACGGCAGGGTTGCCAACTCGGATTTTAAAAAAGGCGTAGGTCAGATAAAGAAAGTTATGTAGAAATGTGAAATTGCCATATAAAAAATACGTAGATCTACGTACTTTTTTTTCTGAGTGAAATTAAGAGAGTAGGGTAGGTAAAAGTAAATAAAATGACAATTTATATTACCCTAAAAGTAGTAGACAGCAAACAAACAACAAATTTAAAAATAAAAATATCTATGAATTATAAGTCTACCAGAATCTCATGGCAAATAAGCCAAACTTTACATGCAAATGATCTGTTTATATAGATATTTATATATTTGCACATAGAGTATGAAATAAATAAGGCTAAATAATGAATGGATTTTAATATATGTTTTTAAAGTTTGGCTTATTTGCCACGAGATTCTGGTAAACCTATACCACCTGTAGTTAATTTAAACAAGTTAAACAAGAGGCTAGGGGTGTCCGTTAGTATGAAACGGAACGTTTATTAATTTTTTCGCGAAAATAAAGGTAAATATGCCCATTCGGTTTATTTTGCAAATTTGAACAATTTTGATAGAAAATACGTAGATTCTGGGACTTAAGTTCGTAGGTTTGCAAGAAAGGCTTAAAGTACGTAGATCTACGTAAAAAGACGTATAGTTGGCAACCCTGCCTGACGGTTCGTTAGAGAGATTGAGCTCAAGAGAGGACTTGAACCAATCCCAGTTTGTTTTCTTGGGATTCCTTTTGGGGGTTGAAGTCTACTTCAAATCTAATGATTCGGTGATCCGACATTGATTCCTCTGGCGACACATGCCAGTTCTGGATAAGTGGTCCTAGAGACCTGCTCATCAGAGTTATGTCTAGGACCTCCTGTCTTACTCTAGTAACGAATGTCGGTGTACTTTTTACAATAAAATCTATTAGCTGCTCACCTGTGTTGTTGACGTCGGTGCTTCCCCATATCACGTGATGTGCATTGGCGTCACATCCTATGATTAGGGGTAACTTCTTGCTCCTGCAGCATTCCACGAGTCCGATGATTTCCGGTGGTTGGCATGCTGCATCCCCAGCGAAATACGCCGATGCTATGCCGACCGCTGGTAACTTTCCTGTGCCGCTCAGCGTTACCGCGACACAGTCACTGCTTAGGAACTCTGAAAAGATATTATAATTGATATCTTTCCTTATTAATATGCATGCTCTTGGGTGTGCACCCCGTTGGTCGCATATTACCTTTGATTGGTGTACAGGCCTTTATTGCCCTGATTGCACCAAGGCTCCTGAATGAGAGCTAGCCCGAGATGTTGGGAGGTGAACAACCTGGCCAGGGCGGCGGATGCCGCCTTGGCCCGGTGTAAGTTCACCTGGGCTAGCTGCGTGCTGCGGTGTGCAGCCATTACTGGAGCGGGTGCTCTATGTTTTGTGAAGGGGGCGGGAATTCCCCATCACTGCCTTCCGTCAGGGTGACGTCGGCCTCCTTCTCGTCGATATCTTCTAGGAGGGGCTCTTGTGCCACCTCCTGGGAGGGCGAGGGATGTTCATCCTCACTCTCCACGTCCATATCGGCGATAGCCTCCTCCTTTGCACCCAATGGCTCTTGTGGCTTTCCGAGGGATTCCTCGACCTCCACTTTGCCGTCTTTGGGGCCGGGGGGCGCTGTTTCTGTTGCCGCCATCTTCGCCGCCTTCCTGAGACCACTCACCGAGACGGTCCCGAATCTAAAGTTCAGCATGTGCCCTTTAGAGACGATCTCATCTCGGGTGAGTTGGTCTATCCCTATAACGAGGAGTGCCCCGTTAAATCGTTAAATGCACAAAAATTCACTCGCGAAGCGAACGGTTTCGAACACAAGGGTATTTAAGCAAATAAATATTCAAATTTAAGAACAGAACCCCCGCTGGTTGTATCAAAAAAATGAAAAATTCGGAGCGCACAAAAAAACACGACCGTTCGCTTGAAAAGAGAATCTTCGAATTTGCTCACTCAAAAGTGGTAATTGGTGCTATGGACAAGGAATGTCCGCATTGTCATGCTCTGAAATTTAAAAATGAGCCAGCTGGGATATGTTGCGCGTCAGGAAAAGTGCAACTACCAGAAATTGAAACACCACCTGAACCAATGAACGGCTTACTTATCGGCACGGATCCAGATTCTAACGTGTTCCTAAAGCCAATTCGAACATTTAATTCATGCTTTCAAATGACATCGTTCGGAGCAACAGAAATAGTTCCAAATACTAATGCAATGGGTCAAAATTACAATTCTACATTTAAAATTAGAGACCAAGTTTATCATAAAATGGGCTCACTGCTGCCAATGCCAAATGAACAACATAAATTCTTACAAATCTACTTTATGGGCGGAGAGGATTCCGGAAGCGCATTTGCCAATCGCGTGAATGCACGTTGTGATTATAATAACCTTTATTCATTTTATTCCAGGCGCAATTATAATAACTTAAAAATAATATTTGCCTTTTGTTATTTTTATATTCCCTCATGGTTCACAGCGCTCCAGATGACTTTATAATACAGTCTAGAACTGAGTAAATTTTGTACAGAAATTATAAAGTGATCTGGTGGCAAAACAACCTTTGCCGGGTCAGCTAGTATTAGTATAGACATCTAATAATAAAATATTTTTTATACCATTTGAAAGGAGACGAACAAAATTCAGCCGCTACCCTGCGAATATTCCTCAGAAGCTACTTTCAGTTGTAACCACACATAAATGGTAAACAAAAACTTTCGAATTTCATATTATTTATCAACTTATCTTTTCGGCAGTTATGTACATCTATGTACGATATACATACACATATGTAGTAAACTATATCAGAACCAACAACTAAAAAACAATGTGAAATTAACCATACATATGTTATAAAGCAAGATATTTTAATAAAATTTTAGGTTGTTTAGTAATGACATACCGGTTTCTTTATTAATTTTTGACGACGATTTTAACATAGTTAGCATTGTCCGATTTAAGTGCTATATGTACCGTTGTCTTCGATGATTTTCTGCCATTTTGATGGTAATTTGTATATGCCTCTCCTAAATAAGTCCTTGTCTTTACTGGCAAAAAAACTCGGCGATACGATTTTCATAATCCTCCATTGAACTCAATTATTGTCCATCGAAAAAATGTTGCATGGCCAAAAACAGATGGTAATCGCTTGGGGCAATGTCCGGACTATAAGGTGGATGCATTAACACTTCCCAACCAAGCTCCCGTAGCTTGTGACGCGTCAACAAAGATGTATGGGGCCTGGCGTTGTCATGAAGGAGCACAACGCCCTTACGATTCACCATGGCTGGCCGCTTCTGTTCAAGTGCAATCTTCAGTCGCTCCAGTTGTTCACAATACAGGTCAGAATTTGGTCAGGTTTGGCCAAAGAGCAACACTTCTTAATGGATAATTCCTCTGATATCCCACCATACACTCAGCAACACCTTCTGAGCCGTCAGTCCTGGCTTTTCCACCGTTTGAGACGACTCACCGTGCTTCGACCAGGATCTTTTATGCTTTACGTTGTCATATGTGATCCATTTTTCATCCAGAAATGAGTCGAGTTTATTACGGTGCAACAAAGATTCGCAGATTGATACACGGTCGAAAAGGTTTCTTTTGGGATAACTCATGAGGCACCCATACATCGAGCTTTTTTGTTAAATTTTTCGACTTTAAATGCCTATGGACGGTTTCCGTGCCAACTTGCAGCTCCTCTGCGATGGTTCTAATAGTCACATGATGATATCGATCCACTATTTCCATGATTTTTATCCGTATCAACGGTCACTGGTCGTCCGGAAGGCTTGGGTGTTTCGGTATTAAAATTGCCACTTCGGAATCGCCTAAGCCACTGTTCGGCGGTTTGAATCGAAAGTTTGTTATCTCCTAAGACAGCAATATTCTGTCTACGAGATTCCGCAGAAGTTTTTCCCTGTGCGAAATAAAATTTCAAAATTGCCCTAATTTTTGCGTTTGTGAACTCCAGTTCAATCGATTGTAATTTTTTAACGTTGAAGCTCATGTTAACACTAAATGTCATTTTAAAGGTGATACCTTTCAAACGATATACAGCATTGCCAGATACAATTATATTTGACTTCACAAGCGAAGCGCGAAACTTGACTGTAAAAACCGGTATGTCATTACCAAATAACCTAATATATTGTAAATATAAAAGAAATAAATATATTCATATATATTAGTTTTCGTATGAATTTGGGGATGACATTTTTAGAAATCCATTGGCGGTTTCACAAAGGGTATCCTCGCAAAAGCCATCGATGAAAACATCTCGTCCATGTCACCATCGATCAATCGTTCGATGGCATGGGAAAAAGTGTCATCGAGAAAGTCTTGCATACCAAAAGCAGACATCCCATATAAAAGTCTCTATGAAGTGTCATTCGTAAGCCACCAGCAGCTAACCCCGCTGTCACCGAAGGGTCGTCGTCCATTTCATCGACGACAAAGCACTTTTGGAACTGCAGGGACTCTAATCAATAAGAGCGGATTTTTTGTCAAAATGTTTCCTAGGTTTAAGTAAATAAATTCCGGTTCGGACGAAATAGGTGTGGTTGAAACGTTCTCTATGGGATTCAAAGTGCTGGTATGAGGAGGAAGATGCGATGGTACCACTGACAATTGGATATGCATGGTAATGGTAATAATTGGTAATATGTTGGTTTTTAAGGGAATTCTATTTTTACCTACCATCGTAGTCCTTAATAAGTTTCGCATGAGCTTCTTGCTTTTGAACAGTAATAAATTTCGGCAAAATATTTGGTATAACTATTTTCTCATTGATGTTGCGCTCTGATATCATATTAACAAGCTTTTTTCTGGTATTTGCTTTGTTCTTTGTAAGTATAAAAGTAGTTTCATATATAATAGCTTCCGGTGTCAAATTACACTTTAAAGAAAGAGTAATACGGATTTCCAGTGGCTTACCTAAAAATTTTGCAGTATATGTTTTATTATATTTGGTTAAACAAATTTTAATTTACCATTTTTAAGATCATCTAATAAACGTAGCTTATCAGGTGGGGACATGTTCCATAAAGTAATTGAGTTTGCATAGAACTTAATAGCAGTAATGTCATCTGCATCATACACCATTAAATGATCGGATGCATAATTATCCAGAATAATTCGGCTAGTTAACTCTTGAAAATCTGCCTTTGAAAATTGGTAAATTCCAGAGTAGCTTTGGGACACGTAAATTGGTTCATAATGACTTATTTTTACTGATATCTCAGCTTTTCGAGGTATATTAGGCTTGCCAACAGTTCCAACCAGAGCAAAAAGAAACAATGGACTCCAAATGAGGGCTATCAGAACCAAAATTATTGTTCCACCAATTAAAAGTTTGACATACAACGCTTTGGGCTCTCCTCGCAGTACTGGAAAATCTGTATCCATTTGCCTATAGCAACGAACAATAAAAACCGACTGGAAAATGTCTTCCATTTTAATCCATTCCATTACAGTAAGAGTTGTGTCTATGCATACCCAGTCTAACATGGTTCGGAGAATATACAAAAAAGGAATTTCCATGTAGCTGTATAATTAAAAAAATAAATAAAAATATATCTTAATTACGTATCATATTTACATTTTAAAAGCTATGTAATTAACTAGTGAATATCCTTTTGTGAATACATTTCCCAATATACGTTTTGGGTAACCACATCTTATTTGATATGCAGATAACAACATATGTAGGCATTTTATTAAGTAGAAGAATACTGGTGCCGATTCTCCGAAACTGTGCGCTGTTACGTAAGGGACTAAAAAAAACATCCAAATGTGTATACCAGCAACAGTTATAAAATGAAAAACAATTTTATATATTAATGCTTTACGTAGATAAATCGCACGTTCTGTCACAATAGTAATAAACTGCACAATTAACATAAGAAGAAAGCTAGAGGGAACTCTGTTTCCCTGAATATAGGTCTCCAGTACGCTTGAGCTATATTTGTAACGGTACTGAAATAAAGAAAGGTTAAAAAATTTAAGTAAAAAAAAATAATTTGTTTTAATATTTGTATTAAAAAAATATCTTGCTTCCAAAAACCGAATCCTGCTAAATCAAAACCAAAAAGAAAGGAAGCTTGCTTCGAAAAGCCAAAGCCTGTATACCCTTGGAATCACAATTATTTCCTACTGTAAGTTCGATGAAGTCTTATGTAGTTTACTCTAGTTTCAAGAATTTTCCAGTAAATTCTCAATTTTGTGACAGCTTTGCAATAACTTTCTTGGCTGAAGCCAGTTTTTTTTGTTTATTTTTGAATTGTTAGAATATTATTATTATTGAATTTGAAGTTTGAAGTCTAGTGTAAGTTAATTTAGGGCGAAGGCGGGAACGCAATAAAGCTTTCTTTCGCTCTCTGCAAGTTTGCCGCGTCTTCGCCAACCTTCGGTCAGCTAGGCTTAAGGGGCACAACTAGTGTGAAGTTTTAAAAAAATCAAAAAATTGTTTTTTTCATATTTCGGTAGATTACACCTTAAAAAATAACATATTAAAATTTAAAATCGATATCTCAAAAAGTTTTTGAGTTATAACAATTTAAAGAGCAGCCGCTCTCATAACAGTGCAAACGATCATTGTACCTTTAAACGCGGTTTTCTCGAAACAGCATTTTCCGAATTTGCTGCAGTGATAACTCAAAAACTAGTGATCCGATCACTACCAAATTTTTTTACATGTTCTTTATATAGTTCTACGTACCATGAACTATCGGTTTTTTGATCCGATCAAAAATCGAATTTTGGCAGGCCAAAAACGACCAAAATTTTGGTTAAAATTCGAATTTTTTTTTTAAAACGCTGCCATTTTGTCATTTTTTGATATTTTTTTTTTTATCGTAGTTCATGGTATGGAAAATATTATCTAGTTTCACGAGAATTTTTCATTTTTTGATTTCGTTGACGGAGAGGGCCGGAATCACTGCAGCAGTTGAGGCACTTTTTTTTAGCGCCGTTGGAGATCGACTCTAACTTAAAAAATATTTAACTTTTTTCTTTAAAAATTTCACTATACATTCTTAAAACATGTATAAATATATTCTGAAAATTTGAAAAGAATTGATCAAGTAGTTTTTTTTATAAAAATTCCCAAACATCACCATTTTTTTAGGCCGTCACACTAGTTGTGCCCCTTAAGTATAATTGTGAAGAGAGATAATATATTCGTTGAAAGTGAGTCATTTAGAGCGCACGCATTTTTCGTTTTCGCCAGCCAAAAATAAATTAATTAGCCACCCAAGTTTTTCGGTTTGTTAATGTTTAGAAAAACTTTTCTACATTTTTAAACTTAGTAATATCTTTGTGCATCTATTTTTCTATTAACGATTATGTCATATAGCTGATATAGAAACAATCGGTATAAATGTATTAATAGAGAAGTCGTTATAGCTTCGATAAGCCTTTAGCCATTTTTTTCGACATTTGTTAAGATTGCAGAGTGATAATAGTATAAGCTTCGGAAGCTAGCTTCATTTTTTGATTTCCATTAATTTTATAATGATTTTTAAATCTCTCTGTTGGAGCAGTAGATCTTTTATTTAAAATAGTAATTTATTTATAATTAAAGAGAATTAAATTAAAGTAGTTAAATTGAAGTAATGTAAATTGAAGTACATACGAGCTTTGTGCTCTAGCCTCGCATGTAAATTAGGCTACTCTTCTACTGATAAACTTTGATAATTGTATTGCGCCAGGGCAAAGAACTTATTGAATTTGGACTGCTGCATTTCTTTTTGTTCAAAATTTGGAAAATTGCCAGTTAGGCGGCTCACCGCAAGTTCAACTTTTGGTGTCGTTTTTTTCGTGAAAAACCTGACGGAATTTCAGTTGCGCCCGAACAGGGACTACAGTTTAGTATTTCGTGGAAATTCACATTGGAAAATTAAACACATACAGTGCACTTTTGTGGTCTCGGCACTTGTTCATTTTTTTCCAGTGTGCGTGAATATTCAGTGCCAAATATTATATTAAGGGGTTATATACCTTCTTTGTCGAAAAAAAGAGGAAAGTTCGGATTTTTTTTTAGGTATGTAGCAATTATTTAATTACACGGGTGTTTTAATTTTTTGATAGTACACTTTATTAACTATGTTTGTGCAAAATTTCGTGGAAAAATATCAATTAGTTTTTAAGGGGTGGCTGTTTCCCTTAGAGGCCTTTTTTTTAGAGCCTTGCGGTGATAACGCTTCTGGTCGAACCGGTCAATTGAAACCATAAAAGTAAAAAAATTTCATTAGTTTAAAGTAATATCTTGTGCTTGAACGAACGATTTAAAAATTTTTTATTTTTTTATGCATACGGGAACGTTTTATGCTAAAAATGAGCTTTTTGGTCTCTAGAAATTTCACTAAAAAATTAATTTCGGCGAAAAAAAATTTTTGCGTGAAAAGTCGATCGTTCAAGCACAAGACAATTTCATTACGAACATTTAAAAAAAAAATTGAAGTAAATCGGCTTACTAGTTTTCTGCCAATCGTTATCACCGCAAAGTCATTTTTCAAGAAACACCATTTCGAGATATTCGCGTTTAAAGTTTCAAGTTCCGGTTCTAGCCGCTACGAGGCGCGCGGTTATGAGCGCTGTAACTTTTTTTCTACTGCTCGAATCTCTATGAAAATTTTGGAAAATATTCTCAAAGAGTTGTTCTTTAAGATAAAACAATACAAAAATTTTCGATTTTTTGAAAATAAAAAAGGTATATAACCCCTTAATCCACTCCAGCAACTTATATTAGTTTATTGGCACTCTGAAAATTGTATGACCTTAAAAATATCCATAATCCAATTAAATAATAAACTTCCTTTAACAAAAATCAAGTTCGAAATTTTCGTGGAAATTTGGGATAAAAAACGGTTATTGTGTTCTCTTATTGAATCCTATTCCGGCAATGCAGTGCCTTTTCGCAGAACAGTTATATTTAAGCAGTACATACCCTGCAGTTCTGGCTGTCCACCGGCGACTCGTGGCAATTAAACAATCATGGGTGTAGGAAAGGAAAATGGATATTTCAAAGTTTCCCTCTCTTTGTCACTCTTAGAATACGATCTCGTTGCTTGGCAACGACGGCGGCCCGACACCAAATTTGTCTACTATTTTTTCATTTCTCTTATTGCATTGTTGCCATGGCAATGTACATATTTACCGTTAGAAACACAAATTTGGGTTTTCGGTGGAAACCACGGCTGAGGGGCGCTCGACTTATGTATACTCTTTTGATGTTAAAGTTCTTCAAATATTGTTAACTGTCTTTTTATTTATTGAGTAGTAGACTTAAAACCAAATAGTAAATGTATGTACATATGTAATCGAATTAACACCCGCTCGTGTTCACGGCCAAACAAGAAGTGATAGCATGGCACTCGTTCGCTCGTACGTAAAGAAGCTCGTGGTGAGAAAAGTGGAAGTGAAGTTTGTTGTTATTTTTCTTATAGAAGCCCTGATCGCTTTACAATTTGACACTCCTCCTCAACACACGCACATGTTTAAAACCTTAATGCTAAAAACAATATTTCTTCATTTTAAACTCAAAGCTTTTCTTAAAGGTCTAAACAAATAATTTAAGCCCAACATTGCAGTACATTTTTGGTGATTTACCTTTGACAAATTTTTAGTTAATACGTCTGCAATCGTTTCTTTTGTTGGACAATACTTTAAATTGATAATTTTTTCTTTATAACAGTTTCTGACATGGTGGTACTTTACGTCTATGTGCTTGTTCCTGGCGTGGTAAATAGGATTTTTTACAAGATTCAAAGCACTCAAATTATCACCATGTATGATATAGTTATACAATTCAATTTAAAAGACAATTTCATTTCATTAATTAGCTTTTTTAAATATATGGGTTCTTTTGCTGCTTCGGATAACGCCATATACTCTGCTTCTGTGCTGCTGAGAGCCACGGATGCCGGTTTTTTAGTAGCCAATGCAATTGCAGAACCTCCCCATATGAAGGATTACCCAGTGAAGGATTTGCGATCTGTAGCATCGCTGGCCCAGTCTGCATCTGTATATCCAGTGATCTCCTTGTCTGTTTTCTCGTACTTGATGGTCAAATCAGACTGTAGATACCGTAAAACTTGCTTAGCACCTGCTAAGTGCTCACTGTGTGGATCTGTGTTTCTCTGAGAAAGCTTGCATGCCGAATGCAGTATGTCCGGGCGTGTTGAAAGCGTAATATGCATCAGGGATCCAATGATTGACTGATATTCTATCACGTCGACTTTGCTGCATGTATCCTTATCGCATTTCACTTGAAAATTGGGTTCCAATGGTGTCGTAGCAGATGGACAACTGCTCATGCCCAATTCCTCCAGAAAGCCACGGATGTGTTTCGTCTGGCTGATTTTTATAGAGCCTGTTTCACCTTCACGCTGAACTTCAATGTCCAGAAAGCTCGAGACTGGTCCTTTATCAACAACATGAAATGCATAAGAAATAGATTTCTTAACCGTTGCCAACTCCCCCATGTCTGAACATGCTATCAGCAAATCGTCCACATAGACTGCTATCACGTTGATCGATTTTCTGGCTGCCTTTGTGTATAAGCATGCTTCGCTTTCGCAAGCCTTATAACCAAGCTTGATTAATACGCTATCCAGTTTAGAGTTCCATGCACGGCCTGATTGTTTTAATCCGTACAAAGATTTCTTCAGTTTCAAAACTCTTTTTGGATCCTTGTTAAACATCTCTGGCGGCCTCATGTAAATCTCCTCCTCAAGCTCGGCATTCAAGTATGCTGTTGAGACGTCTAGCTGATAAACGTACATACAGTTCATGTTTCGCTGCCATTGTTAAAACCATGCGTATAGTAGCATAACGCACCACTGGTGAGAACGTTTCATCATAGTCGACACATCTTTTTTGACTGCAGCCTTTTGCCACTAAGCGAGCCATATATCATTCGATTTTCGCAGCTGGATTTCTTTTGAGCGTAAATACCCATTTGCAGCCTATTGTCT